TCAGCTGTCGCGATAACGGCTCATTCAATAACGTGAAATTTTGTTGGGAGTCACTGAGACTGACATATAAGGCGGGGCACGACAACCGACGAATAAATATGTCCACGGTTTTATTCTCTAGTCATATCAACATTTAATGAGAATGAGGTCAGGAGGCCGCAGACTAGGCCATCCCCACCGCTGGTTCCTGTGGACGGCTTGCATGTGTAACAACTAACAAATGGAAATACTTCGATGCAAAACTCTAACCCCATTCTCACTCCAAGAGCGTGACCTCCACCCTATTTACATTTCAAAAAGGTTAACTGCCAAAATTTAGTCCCTCAATTTTCAATTTTGAACAAATTTCATCCCTTAACTTCTTCTTTTATACTTTTTTGTCTCTCAACTTTGAAATACTTTTTTTTTATCATTTCATCAGTTAATATATTAAATTTTTTAACATATTAATGTATTAACTTATAAAATAACAAAAAAATGTATTTTTTTAAGTTGAGAAATGAAAATGTAAAACAATCCAAAGATGAAATTAGTTCAAAATTAAAAATTGAGGGACTAAATTTGACATTTAATCTTTCAAAAATAAAAACAAATTAAATTTTTTAATTGATTTGAATTTAGCTATATTTTTGTTAGTACAACAGATGTGATTGATGAAAAAAAGTTTTTTCACTTGGATATAAAAATGAATTAAAAAATAAATTCTATCTTCAATTAACACTTTCAAATTAAATTTTCTTTTAGAAGCGTATCATATGAAGAAAAGTAAATAATAGTCCTCTTGCCTATCACCATTTGTGTATGTATACACTATTTAAGAAAAAATATAATTAGAATATCCTTCTTAAATTTTTTTTTTAATCACTAAAGATAATAGTTTTGTCTTCTTCCAAAATCACAGATCCTAATACAATTTTTGATACATCTAAATCCTAACATAATAAGAAAGGATATGTGCCATCTTTCACAAAAAGAGAAAGAATTGTAGAAATGCGGTATTGAATCTTAAATCCTAACGTTTTTTTTCTTTTCTCTTTTGTACATTTCTAAAAAAAAAATAGAAAAGCAAGGACTGTAGTCTGTAGAAGTTTCGTACTGAGAAACCAGGCCGCCGCCTAAAACGCGCGCGTAGACTAATGCCGCCAAAAGTTAAAGAGCTGGTGTCAATAACGTAATATTGAAAAAATGGGAATGCCCTTTTGTCCAAAACCCCAGCGGCTCGGCATTAACGGCGAGCACAAGCAGAGATAAATTGAATTGAAAATAGATTTGATAAGATAAAAATTTAAAATTTAATTTAAGGGAGAAAAAATTGAAATTAAAAATGATATGGGAAAGAGATTAATTATGAATTTAAATTCAGAATTTAATAACAAAATAAATTTTAAATCTTGAATAAATAATA